TGTGTGTGTGTGTGTGTGTGTGTGTGTGTGTGTGTGTGTGTGTGTGTGTGTGTGTGTGTGTGTGTGTGTGTGTGTACAATGTTGGAAGGATACCATATTTTATACAGTATTGTATAAATTCTACCGAATTGTTAGCATTAATCAATTTAATGTTTGTCTTTTCAATTTTCTTTACTAAAACTTTTTGGAAAGTGTTCAATTTATTGGAATTAACTTTCAATTGATTAATGCCAACAATTTGGTAGAATTAATACAATACTGTATATATAAATGTGTGTATATGTGCGTATGCGTGTTGAAAAATATATTATAAACAAACGTTATTCAAATTACGAAACAATCGGTGTCAAGAAATTATTTGAGACTAGGCAGATGTGAGATGTCATTCAGCACGTGATCGGCTTTCAAATGTAACATATTCAAGGAATGTTCTCGTGTTGGGTGATGATGCGTTCGGATTGTTTTTTGTTCTGAAGCATTAAAAACCAATTGCAGCTTCTGGCGATGTCACTTAATTAAATATTACATTCATGACGTTGTGCCTTTTTCTAAAGTTTCCATAATCTAAGATATCTGTAATTTTAGCAAATGAATTTTCAATAAATCGGCGGGCTTGAAAATTTAAATGTGAGCTTAAAATGTTCAAATTAATTGTGATTTGATTTGCTACATCATAACTTTTCTATACTGACATCTCATCATTCGAACCATCCACAATTAAACATATTAAAGGAAGGCATACCAGGTAACTGCAATTGTGATAAAGTTGAACATAAAACATTTAAACATCATTTAGTTATGTTATATAAATTATTGCGTTTCAAAACTTAAAATTTATGAAACTTCTCAAATTTACACTTCGCCCTAACAGTTTCACAAAAAGTTTTTATTTTTTTGTTAAAACACTTGGATCACTTTTAGAAGTATGCATGCGTTATTTATCAGTGTTTTTTCATTCCTGATCATTACTTTCAAACATTTTTTATAATATACTCTCTATAATAAGATAAAATATGCACTGCATCCAGTTAAAATTTGATAAACTTAGTTCTTCACACGTTTCTATCAAGATGTAGGTGGGGTATCGGATCACTCCTGCTCTTCCATATTTTATATTAATTTTATGTTAATTTTAGGCTATATGGTTATGTTGAATGCATTTTTTAAACAGCTTCAATAAAGATTGTTCAATTCAATTGTCGTTTACTGTAAATTATTCTGAGCTAATTTTCTTAAAAGAAATACATTTACAATACTTTGCTATAAATCTTTCATTTTACTGGTTCTAAGACTAAAAAATCATGTTGAAATTGTAATTTTAATTAAACGTGCACGGATGGTGTTTAAGCGAAGCTCTAATCTTATCTTCGCCGTGCACGGGCGGTGAGGTGCTGGCATTACAAGCTGATGTTAATGCTCATTGAAGTTCGTTTGTGTACAGTTTCAGAGGCTCCAAGAATTTTTATGAAAGTAGAAAAGAAAAAGAATATAACTTTGCTTCCGTATTTAAAAAGTAAAAAAAGATTGATGAATATGATTATAAACTGTAAATGTTATTACTTTAGCAAAACTAACTTTGTCATGCTGCGTTTTTTCGTAACAATATAAACATTGCAACAAATTGTTATCGGTTAAATTTTAAATTTGTCAAAATTTTGTACATTTCATATTTTGTTGTCTAAATTTGGCACTTAGTTGAGTGAAGAAGACGTTTTACATGTAAAAAAGAAAATAACAGTTCTCTCAATAAAAGGAGCTCAAAGAACAACAAAGCATGGTTGTTTAGCTGCGAACACTGAAATGAATGTTGAAACATAAGAGATGCTCGTCTAAGTAAATTAATAAAATTTCTAAAAAAAATAATCAATTAAAAATGTGTTGGTTTGTCCAAATAATCAACGTTAATTATTTTGTTTAACATTGAATATTTTGTTTTATACTTGGATGAGAAGGTGGATCTAGACAACTTTGACAAAAGTACACTGTACATTTTTGGTGTGGTCTAAATTACTGGGTGACTTTTTTCTTTTATTGCCAAAATTTTGTGTCAATTTTCTTTTTCGAAATAGCCTTTTCATGTATAATAACTGTTTATGGTATAAAAAGTAATTAAACGATATATCTTGGATAAATTTTCAAAAAATAACTACAAAATGGGGGCTGACTCTCCCCCTTAAACCCGCCACTGAATGAATGCTTTGTTGTTAAAATTAAATGTGCATGTTTTTTTGTTTAAAAAGTTATTATTTAATAGTAATTGTTGATTTCTTGTGAACTCTTATGGCTGTCACGTAATAAATTAGTTTAGACCTGATACAATTACTTTTGTAATAATCTCTATTGAAATTTTAGTAAAACTTTACAGCAAAACGATGGCATTTATATTAAAATCTTTCTTTAAAAAATTAGTTAAAATATTCATAATAGTTTGAATTGTGAGATATTTATTTCATTACTACCATTTGTTGAATTGTTTGTTATGCCAAACTTAGATTATAAATTTGTAAGTAAACAACGCAGATGAAGCAGAAAATGGAGGATTGACCTCCTACGAACACCTTCGACATCACCACAGGCGCTCTCGTATTAACGAAAACCAATATAACAACGGATATCGCAATAACAACATTCACTGGCCTGATGGTGAAGGTGGTGTCAAAATTTCAACAGAAGCCATTCAAAGATCTTTTCTTCCAATGAAATGTCATCGTAACTTGGTCTGTTTGTCGGGAGGAGAATGCCAGGAACTTGATGAGGCCGGTGATTTCAGGTGCAAATGTCCTCTCGGTACAACTGGAACGAGTTGTGAACAAGGTGAATCACATTTACTTGCAAATCTGCTGTCTGAAATTGTTAATAGTTATTCCTTAATATGAGCAATATAATTTTTTGATTATAATTTTTGACAGTTTCCTCGATCAAGTATCCTAAATTTCAAGGAATTGGCCATATTGCTTTTCCAGCTTTGAAGAAAGCGGAATTAAGTTTTAACGTAAAAATGGAGTTTAAACCGGAGAGTGAAACTGGTTTGTTACTTTTTACCGCTGATCAACCAGATGCCAAATTTGACTTTTTTTCAATTTCATTGGTGTCTTCCAAAATTGAATTCAGGTATGTTATTATTAAATTGAAATTATGATTTAATATAACAACATTTTACTTATTTTCCATTGAATGAAATATCAATACGTAAACTTATGTAACAAATTTCTTAGCGTGTTCATCATTTCAAATTAAACAAGTTACTAATAAAAATTTTTACTCAACACTGCTGTCGTAAAATGAAAGATGAATAGTTAGTTATTTCAAAAGTTTGAAAAATACAATAAAAATTTTCAATGATTTTGCAAAAGAAATTAATTTTTTCATGTGGTTTTCGGATCAAGTCATTATGTCCATATTCTTATTCGAATATCCACGTATTGAAATCTTACTTTTACTTTCAGTTTTTTGAAACCTTTTTGTCTCACTGCCCCAATTGCAAGCATATCTTTATAAATTAATAAATGTTTTTAGACTAGCAGATGTTTTCTTAGGGAAAAAAAATTTGTAATTTAAATTTCTGGGCCTAATTTTTACGATTTTGAGTTCACAAAATTCACCATAACATCTGTTGAAACAAAGAAAAGAAATAAACAAACATTTCTTACAAAGTTTAACTTAGCGGGCTTTTCAAAGCCGTATTAACTAATAGGCTAAAAAGACTGGAGCCTAGGGCGGCTAATTTTAGAGGGCGGCAAATTTTGAAGTTAAAAAAAATAGCATAAATTATCCTGAATTAATATCATGTTTATGCAAGATCAAAAAATTAATATTCGGTCGTTTCGACTACTTTATTCTTGATATTATTTTTCCCAGAGCACTACTACAACGTGAAAAAAGTTTAAAACATTTGTTATATAATTTAGCATTTAAAATAAATAAATCAAAATAACTTTGTTTTGCTATTAGATTTATTAAATATTGCTTGTTAACATTAAGAAAAAAGTTAATTAAACGGCAAAATTTTTCAAACCTAGAGCGCAAATTCATAAATCCGCTTCTAGGTTTTTCTGTTCATTATTGTGAGATGTTAGTAAACTGTAAAGTTTCTCTACCAACATATGATCATACAAAAATGTCGTTAAGAATGGAAAAATTATTCCAATCACAGTTCATTCAAATAAAGGCCGTGATATTCACGTAATTTTTTATCTTGTTTTTAATTGCATGAACGATATTTAAACTGAGGATTGTTCTAAGTTTTTAATGTTTTATCAAATCCAATTCATTTAAACAAAAGGGTGGTCGAATTAGCGGAATCGCCAGACATTTTTGTAACAACAGATATTTACATTTCTGCAAACTCCCCTTCCTCGAATGGATACTTTTTTATTGTTAGATTCAAGTAAATTTGGGTCTAAAATAAATTTAAATTTTAAAGTGTTTCTGCAGCCTCCCTCTTCTGCGATAGTAAAATTGAGTCAATTATCAAGAAATAGTTGAAACAGCCAGTTGTTAAGATTTTTAAAAATCTAAGCTCTTTTCGAAAAAGTTTTTGGCAACGCTACTTATTCGGCTATTCATTCGATTGAATTCAGTTTCTTTATATGTAACATAACCTACAGTATAAATTAATGACGTGCCTCTATAATTTATCTAAAATTCTAAATAGATCTAATCTTTTAAATAAAGAGTGAGACATTTTAACTGTTGCCATTTCTTTATTTCTCGACTTCTCGTTGTTTTCATTATTTGCTTTGCGCAGTCTTCGGTGCATTAGAAAACCAACAGTACACCTTTAGTATGATCGTGTAATGTTTATTCTTTATTAATACTAGGAAATCTTCAGAATCGTTGCTACTACAATCACAACGACTCATATATATTTATATTTGGCTTCAACATCACCTAAAATATTTAAAACTTACAGTGGCTTTACCAGAAATTTTTGTCGGAGGCCTTGAATTGATTAAAAATTTAGGAACCTTTTTCGCTTGTTGCACAATTTTTTGTAAATTTGGCTATTGAAACCCGGTGCTCATCTATAAAATTTACCATCATCTTTTTTTTGCGGAGATCTAAAAGAATTTCAAGTCTAAAATTTTTATAAAGTTATATAGAAATTTTGTTCAATTTGGCCTTGACTCTTAATTCTCCATTCTGCTCTAATCTTCTTGGCTACTTGGTTCCGTCTCAAGAAACAAATATTTCTAACATGCTTTTTTGTCATAAGCAACGTTCGGAACTATTCACTTTGCGTAGGCTGTAGTGAAAATCTGAAAAAAATTTCGTTTCAACTATTCTTCATTATTCCAATCAAAAATTTGCATTCAAAATTGATGACGGACAACTACTAAATAAGAAAATTGTTGATAAGAGGTGAAATGAAACATGGCTATAAATCACATAAGCAAATTTAATACTGACTTTATATAAAAATGAAAAAGTTTAAATGTATTAACGTAAATTTATATAATAAAAATGGAAACATATTTAGTATGATGAATAATAAATTCATTGCAAGATATGATTGTGGATCTGGCATGGCGATTATTAAAAGTTCGAACGTGGTGAAGTTGAACATGTGGAACATGCTGGTCATCAACAAGAACGAACAATTTGGAATGATCCAGTTGAACAATGAAACTATTGCCAGAGGAAAATCAAAGGTCTTTCAATTTTTAATCAGCTGTACGATACGCGTTAAAAGTTATCTATATCAGAAAACGTTCTTCACAAAAATCACATACAAATAGCAAAATTATTCAGAAAATATTGTGACTGATAAATAATTAAAAATAAATGACCATATTAATTTATTATTTGTTGAATAAATTAATTTATGATTCAGCAATATAATTACACGTATGATGTCATTAATTTTCCACTCGGTAGGTGTACGGTTGAGAGATCAACGATTTCATCACCTCAATACTGTTCAAAATACTTCATTATTGCATATCACTTGAAATGATTTTGTTTGTGACGATCTTTTTAAATGAAAAGAAAAACATCGTATTTTTAAGGGTAATTTCAGTCGAATAAACTTTCAAAACAATTTGTACCTGGGTGGCTACCTGAACCTCAGCGAGGTTTCCGATAGGATCGGGATCGGAAAGGGATTCGACGGCTGTATTCGGCTGTTGCAGATCAATAAGAAGCTGTACGACATGAGGAAAGGAGAATTTGTTGGAGACGCTTTGGGAGGTGTTGATGTCGGTCAGTTGCTTATGCAACGTGTGCTTTCATTTGCAATTACACATTTTACTCCATCCACACTACACTTTAGAAAACTGCATAACTGGAATATGCAACAAACTGACATGCTTCAACGGAGGGCAGTGCGTGGCTGAGAACGCCGAGTTTCCAAGATGCGACTGTCCGCTGGGAACAAGTGGCGACCAGTGTCAGACAAGCGAGTAGTTTGCCTTAATTATTGTGGCGTTAATTTGAATTTAATAGTTTTTTCAAATAAAATATCTTGATAAATTGATTTATTAAAGTCAATAAATAAAAACTTATTTATATTTTTAAAGTTTAAAATTTATTCGAAATTTTGAATTTACAAAAAAATATTTAAATTAACTTAAAACTAAAATTATTTTAAGACTAATTTTTTTAATAACAAGCAATTTTTAATGTACAGAGATGAAACTTTTGGTGCCGAGGTTCATTGGCTCCTCCTTTCTGCAGTTCACCGGCCTGCGGCGGAACGTCCTTTCCTTCACGGAGATCGAGGTTCACCTGAAACCGAAGAAGAACTACGGCTTAATACTTTATAATGGTTATGCGAAAGATAAGACTGGAGACTTCATATCACTGAGCATTGTGGACGGCTTCGTTGAATATCGTTTCGATCTTGGAACTGGCCCAGCCATTTTGAGGTTGGCAAATAAACCACATTCAAATTAAATTTTATGAAATCGAGAATATTCAATAAATTTTAATCTTTTTAAGAAATTCGAGTTTTTATTAATCACAAAAAATTAGAACATTTAAAAATTCAAATGAATGCATTTTGTTAAGGAGCAAATACAGAATTGAGTTGGATGTGTGGCACATTGTGATCGCCTCGCGAACTGGACGGAAAGGTTATTTGAAGGTTGACGACCAACAGCTGGTCGAAGGGATGGCGAGTGGAGCATTCACGCAACTGACACTCACTTTAGATTTGTTTGTTGGAGGTCACAGAAATTTTGATGAAGTTGTGCCCGCAGCTAATATCAATGAAGCTTTCTATGGCTGTATTCAAAAAGTAAGAGATAGTAGTTAGCTTGTTTACCAAAATGATAACTTTAAACTTAATTACTTTTAGTTCAGTTTTTTAACTAAGGAATAATAATTTTTATTTTGTACAGGTTTTGATAAATGAAAAGCCAATGAAACTTTTGTTAGAAGCTATTACAGGAATGAACCTGATAAATTGCAACCACGCTTGCTCAGATATTCCGTGCGGAGAGTATGGAAAGTGCACACCGCAGCTCAGCGACTTCACTTGCAGTTGTGATCTGGGCTATGCAGGCAACGTTTGCGAAACAAGTAACACGTTTTACGTTTCTGTTGATATTTAAGGATTAGATTGAAATGAATAAACGTCTATTTAGAAATTGTGCCGTCGATTTAAATTCAAACTAAAATCCTTGTTATCATACAGAACTAGATGCGTCATCCATATCTGCAGCATCCTTCTCAGGGAACAGTTACTTGCTCTACGTTCATCCAACCATTGTCCAGAGGTATTTTGCTTCTGTTTTATCAAGAAATGTAAATTATAACTTTTAGGAATTAAATTGTTTATGGTCTAACTTCGTGCCAAAGTAAATTAACTAATTCCTTATGCGAGTAATATTTTCTCTCAATTATCACTATTTTTGATTTCAAACAATGGACTGGGTGCTTTATTTAGTCCAACTGTGCAATCTTTGCAAGCCAACCACCCCTTGCCGTTGAAGGATTCTGTAAAGATATGAAAGTCTCACCGTTTTCAAAGTGACTTTCCTGATCTGAACTGCGCTCTTGAATAATATTATAAAATGCTCCACGAAAATTCCGATGATAATAATATTAATAATAATATCTACAATCAAAAATTGGTTGGTACAAATTAGTTATAAAAACGATTTCCAATTGGCCTAATCAAAAAAACGATCATTCATTCAATTAACAATCGCAAAAAGGCTAAGTTAGAAGTTACAAGGCTCTGATAGGAAATCACTTGAACTTTCCTCAACATCAACGACAAACTACATAATGATATGAAATGTTTGCAAATGTAGCAAAGCAGCAGCAAACTGATAGTTGACCATCCACTGCTAAACAGATGGACCATGGCCATTTGATTCTAATTAATTGAAACGTTCTATCAACAAGTCGAGAGAATTGTTTTAAGTTCTTCAAAATTTTAGCTGATATTATTAGAAATGTTGTAAACGTAAACTAATCTTTTATTGCAAATAAGAGTTTATAAATTGAAGCGACTAAAGAAGATTTTTTCATTTTTTTCTACTGCAACATATATGAATTTGATACTAATTATAATTAAAATTTCAATATTCGACTTTTTTTTAAATGGTTGCAGATTTTCCTAAAAATGTTTTAAAGTGTTATAAACATATTGTGCATTATGTTAATTTTGTCATGAATTATAAATTTACTCAAAAATCGTGTTAGAATGAACAATTTGTGATCGGTGGCCTGCGACACAAGAATTTTGTTTTCTTTTAGCTTTGGTCTCCTAATCATTACCTAATTATTATTAATTTGGATTGATTGAATAAAATTTGATTTGATTTGATATTTTGAAAGGCCTACAATGATCGTCATGTTATTCAATCTTTCGTAGGCTCACTGATTTCCGATAAATAGCACAACTTCTCCAAATACAGACTTGTTTTAACGTTTCAATCATTCGAAGAAATACGCTCGACGTAGCACGATTGCCAATAATTCCTAGCGCAACTCTACAATCCAACAACTCCAACTTCTCTTCGCAACTTGGGCTTATTTATATACAGCAGTGTCACAAAGATATTTGGTCATAACAATTAATTAGTGATGGAAACATAAAATTATAGGATCAAAATAATAATTAATTGAAATTCATTATATAGCGCATTATTGCAGCAATTAAACAATGTGTTGCTTAAAAAACAAATGCAGAGCGAGCGGTCGTGAGTTCATGTTGCAGTTCAAGATGAAGGCAAGTGAGGAGAGCGGTCTGATATTCTGGGTGAGCGAGGAGGAAAGTGGGCCGAACGGCGACTACTTAGCAGTCGGCCTGCACGCCGGCTTCCTCGAGATGAGGTTCGACCTCGGAACTGGCGATGCTCACATCGTGCACAACTTCACACGCCTGGACGACAACAAGTGGCACTTCATCAGCATTCATCGGTAAAAGTTTACTTTTGATGATTCAGAGTTGTAAAAAATGTAGCGCACCAGTAACGATGCTTAAATTATCAGCGATGCAATGTTACTACTTTATTATTACTTAATCATGTTACTCACTTTTTTGTTTGAAAAAATTCCTCCATCAAAAGTTTCGAAAGGACGGGATTCCTTCAAGTAGATGGTCAGAACATCACGAAAGGATTCTCACCTGGCGAAATGAAGCAGCTCACATCTCCAGGGTCCATTTTTTTAGGTCTCTCGTTGTTAGAAATCATTTAATTGACATTTTACAGGTTGCTTGCAATTATGAATGGTGTCATTATGAATTGAATTTTTGGAGCAGATAGGTACTCATAATCTTGCTACATTATGTTAAAACTTTAAAAGCAATTTTTTCATCTAATTTTCTCTCCCGATATAAACTCAAAATAAATCATAAAATGATTAAATAATAGATAGGTAATAATAATAATAATGCTGTGTATATACACGTGTATAGTTTTATTTATTGCCCAACTTTCTTATTAGTTTGGTTAACATATTTTCAATTTGAAATCATTTTCACGTTCCATTGACTCTCCTTCAGAGATTTCAACAACACTTAAAACAGCATTTTTGTGTTTTTCCCAAATGTTTAAGTTAAAATTAAAACTTCAACGAACCATCCAATCAATCAACCAGTCAACCAACCAACCATCCAACTAATCAACCAACCAACCAACAAACAAACTATTCAACCAACCAATCAACCAGCCAACCAACCAACCAATCAACCAACCAATCGTTCTAATTAAATGAATTGAATGCAGGCGGGATGGAAGACATAGTACAAAGAACGCTTAAGAGATACAAATCAGGGCTGGTTGGATGTTTGCAGAATGTCACGTTAGGCGGGGACCTGGGCATTCATCTGGTGGAAGATGCCCTCGAAGGCAGCAACATCAACTCGTGCGGCGTCTACAGTTAATTTGCATTTTCTCTTCAATAGAACCAGTAGTTAATTAATCAATATAGCACAAGAAAACTTGTTTTCGGAAACTTATTTTATTATTTACACAATTTTAAAAAGTTTTTCTAATGAAATGATTTTGATAAACGTCAATTGCGAAACATTTTTATTTCAAAATCATGATATCTTTTATTCTACGTTAACAAAAAGAAACGAATTCCTAACAAAACATAAAGTGGAGTGAATCGTCCTATTTAACCAAGAGAAGTTTCATTTATTGAATACTCGATTGTTACAGTTGACAAAATGCTCAACACCGACACATTTCACACAAGCAAATTTGAAAAGTTCTGAAAAATTTCTAACAATAAAAACATAATCATCCGTCTTTAGAAAAAACACAAAACTAAGGTTTGACTGATGCACAACTCGATGTTGGGTTGAATGACAGGATCGGGAAGTTGATAGATCCTGGATTGTAAATCATGTTGATGTTCTGCTGGATTGGTGACAATATCTGACGAGGACTGACTTGCAGACTGGAACTGAAAGGCATGGCAAACGCAAGAGGCAACAGATGCGTCAGATTCATCGGCAGAGTCACATTTGGCTTAAAGTCCTATTCCGTGAATAAATAAACAAATTAATAAAAAAAATATAAATATTTTTCAAAGGGCGCAACAATTTTTGTTTACAAAATAATTAAAAAGTAAATAAACTTAATGGTGCAAAAGCCAGTTTATCTGACCATCGGTAAATAGGAAGAGCCACTTATAAATTACGACCACGCTTCAGCAAGCCTAATTTGATTTGTTCATCCGCCAGGTCATGCAGTAGAAAAACCTTCCAATAGAAAACTCCGACGCCCAAAAATTGTTTTCAACTTCTGCACCAAAATTAAAAAAAACTAAACGATGGCTGAAAACGCTTTCATTCTATTTAATTTAACAATGCCTATGATAGAGAGAGAGAGAGAGAGAAAGAGAGAGAGAAGGTAAAAGGGAGAGAGAGAGAGAAGGTAGAAGAGAGAGAGAAAGAGAGAGCCAAAATTTGGTTTTAGGGCTAAAGTCTCCATTTCTGTACGCATGATGATAAAAAAACTAAATGGCAACATTGAAAATAATAACAATAGGCAAAATAATAACAACAGCAGCAGCGATAATAATAATAATAACCACAAGAGTATTAATAATATTAAAATTAAAGATAAAAACGATGCACGTGAAAATGTACCTTGTCGGGTTGTCTGGGTGTCTTCGTGAGATCTAGCGGCTGTTGTTGTTGGCAGTCTTTGGAGACATTCGCGAAACCTAAGTTAGGTAACATTTATTCATTAATTACCTAATTAATTAAGTAATTAATTAATTAAATAGGTAATTAATTAATTAATCATTCATCGTTAGTTCGTTTATATTCGGTAATTTTTGAGAGAGCACACCGATAAAACCAGGGCATCGAACCGGAACTGAACTGTAACCGAAAACCGTTAAAAACCAAAATTTTGCTCGAAACAAAAACCGTAACCGAACTTAAATATTGTTTGCTAGTTTAACCGAAACCGAAAACCATAACGAAATAACGGTTCGATGCTAAAAATTTATAAGAAAATATTTTTGTCTAATTCAGAAAAAAAATATTTAGACAATATTTTGTCTTTTGAAATTTTATGTTAATTTTTATTATCTTTGAAAATTTGTTATCTCTCATTTCGTTTGTTTTTCCAACTGAGTTCGCCGATAATTTAAGAAAGAATTGCCACATGAAGATATATCCGATATAATCGGAGAAAGTAGAGATCAAGTGCGATCATCTTCAAAATTTTGGAGTAGCAGCTACACGAGTGTGCCTGGAGCATCTGTTTCTGGATTAAAATTTATCCTCAGAGACAACAGAAGTGGAATCATAGGAAATTTTCATCTTTTTTGAAACAATCTTATATTTATATTAGTGGTTTCAAAATAACTTTGTAATGATTGTTTGAATTTGTTGAAAAAAAATAACGTTTCTTTTTATACTGACAACATTTCAAAATCATTTTTGTTTTTGATTTCTTATTATTCGCAATCTAACATTTAATTCAAATTGGCATCGTGATAATAGTTGGATTTCCGTTACATGCGTTTAAGGAACTATGCTTGAAAAAATTGAGCGAAACCGAAAACCAAAAAAAAAAAACGATATTTCAGGAACGAAAACCGGAACCGAATGGAAATTCGTTTTGCTGATTGAACCGAAACCGTAAACCCAAACGAAAAAAATTACGGTTCGATGCCCTGGATAAAACACAGAAAAATACAATCACATTTATAAGAAATTTAAAAAAATTAATAAACGAAAAATTCCAAAATTTTCTTCATTATTAAATTAATTAATATTTAAAAAATTAAAACGATTAATTCAAGAAGAACGTGATTCAGTGTGAAATATATGTCGAATGTTAATAAATATGTTCAACGTTGAATCGTTTTAGGTTATATATAACTTTGATAGCATTTCAAAAATTGATTTCAACAATCGCTTAAGTGCTGTTCAATTAAATATATTACGTAAGAAGAAACGACAGCATTATTAATGGCGTCCACGATACCAGTTTTATGAAAGTTATACGGAATAACTGATGACTGCAAATAATCAGTTATCCGTGAGAATAACAAAAACTTATCATAACATGACATGGCATGATATGAAGCGAACAATAAAGAGCACGAGCTTCCAACACTTCCAGATATAAAACCTAGTTTACATTTTAAAACGTTACTTACGATGTTTCAGAAAACCTGATAAATGCACGAATAAAAACAATAAAGTTAAATAGTTAAATAAAACTATTATGTATGTTTTATATTAATATAATGTTATAAATATAATTATATAACTAAATACTGTGTTTCATTAATACAAAACAAATTTGGTTGTCAAGCAAGGCCATATAGAATACTCTGCGGAAATTGGAAGACAACTGGATAGATTTCATATAACACGTCATTTCAATGACGCATCTCACTAAGTCCAACCCACAAAACTGTTTAATATGCGTGACTGGATTATTACGAAGAAATTTGTAATTTAGTTTCACGCGAAAATAAATTTTTATTAGCAAATTTACTACTTGAAATTAATTAACTCCTAATCTAATCAGTAGAAAATAGAATGATGTCACTCAATTGGTTCCTAGTCAACAATACTCAAACATTGTATCGCCAATACTAATACTGTTACCGCTTTAAGAATCTGTTGCCCATAACAATACCAATAATCGTTTTTAAAATATTGCTGGTACTACCAATACATTTGCACTTTTTAAACCTGCAACTTGAAACCGAAACTAATATTTTATCCTTAATAATTAATGCACTCGCTAGTTCAAATGAAGCACGAAAAAGGTTGCGTACAGACTAATAATTGTTCGAACCATCAAATTCATAATAATTAAAAATCATTTTTGTGTCCACTACCCCGTCTCGCCATTTGACAAAACTGGATAACTGTCACTTGTTTGTTGAATTCCTTGATGTGCTTGCAACATTTTGTCTACTTAGCTCTGGATCGAAGTATAATTGAAGCACAAAACAACTAAATAACTTATCAATCTGTCAAGGTTACTAACGCTTTTTTTGAATAAAATGGAGGGCCGTTACCACCACTTAAATTGAAACATCAGATTCAAAGTTTCTATCCCTCTTGCTGCTTTTTTAAATGAAAGAAGAAAGCTCAAATTATTATTATAAGCCTAATTATTTGATTATTTGTCAATCGAATAAATTAGAAATTATAAAAACAATTGAAACTTTAAAGAAAGCTTCGTTGAAAATAGTAGTATTTGTTGTCTGACGTTGATTTGCAACTAGTGAATGTTTGTTTGTTTGATTGTATGTTTGTTCAACAAATTAAATAAGAGCTGGACAATCTTTATTTACGCTATTTCATTCGTATAAAAAATATCAATTGCTCATTCCTTTAATTTAATTTTCTCAAATATGTAGCAGTTTCTGAGTAACAACTAGTTATTCAGCCGGAAATAAATTTGAAAAAACAACTTGGATTTAATCAAGGATTAAAAAAAATATCAAACAAATTATCTCGAAAAAAAAATTAGGCACTAACCACAATTATATTCTTCTTTCGGAACTTTTTTAGAAAGATCCAAAGGTTCAGATTGCTCCAAATGTAGCATCATTTTCAACAAACTCTCTTCCTCTAACTTTTTCATCGTTTTCATTGACAAGTCAGTTGGCGAATCGTCATCGTTACTGATGGAAGTACATTTTATAAACTGGTTGGACCACGTAGATGACAGCTCATTGGCGTTAGCATTAAGCTGCGTTGAATTTGTTGTTTTACTAGCGGAAATCTTTTTCAAAATCATTTCTTCATTTTGAGGAAATAAACGCGAATATTTTGGCGCCTTTGAATTTTCAGACTTTACTAATTCAGTGTAACCCTTTTCAGATGCTATTTGCGAAGTTTCAAGAAGTGTCGACTTTTGCTGATTCAGTAGAACGGAAGTTGAGTTAAGAAGTGACGGAAACATGGGCGTCGTCGTTGTTGATGATGTTAATGTTGTTGTGCTCGTCGGTAACGAATTATACAAAGACACAGAGAATGACAATGGCATCATAGTTGGCAACGATGGCGTTAATGGCGTCGCGACCAAATCTGAAAATTCACTTTTTGACAGAACAAATGCACTTTCACCTGTATAACAAGACGCTAAACTTGATGTTGGAAGAGGATTGCCAACGAACGAATCAGTGGGAAAAATACTTGCTGTGTTGGCAGTGGTATTACTATTCCCGTTTAGCTTTATCCGGTGCGATGTGGCACAGTTAATCACTTCTTTAACCACTATAACATCATCTTGCAACATCTCAGTGTTTTCCAAGTTTGAGTTTGTATTCTCTGTAGACATTTTATTTGAAAGTTTAGTCACACCTGATATTGAATGATCCATAGATAATCCAAGGCTGTCTTTTTCAACAACGTTAATTAAATCCTCCTTGACTTCAATTTTGTTTTTTAAACCTTCACCTAACTGACTAGATTCAATTATATTTACATCGGACTGGTTATTAATTTTCTTTGGACTAAGATTATTCACTTTGGTTGCATTAACAGCCTCGGTTGATTTTTTAAATTTGGAATGAATAAATGTCTTGTCTTTGATGACCGATACAACGGGGAGAGAGGTTGCCGAGCTGGTCAACATGTTGTTGCAGACAGGTCTGATGACAATGAATGGCTCTTTGTTGAAGTTCAACTTCATCAATGTTTTCGTCGGAGACTGTGTGTTATCAATCGTTAAATTGTAAATCATTAATTCAATCTAGTTTAAAAAGAGTAACTCAAATTATTTTGTTCCAACAATTTTGAAGTAAGCCGGTTTATTTTTCAAGTGGCAAAAACTTTTACTTCAAAAATAACATATTCATAACAAATGTATCAGCAGCTGATAAAATGGTGAAATAAGAATTAAATAGAGTAAAAGATTACTTCTCCACTAGCGGAAAACTTGTCTTCCTCACTTCCATGTGTCGCTGAGACGAAAGCCGCGTTGAACTGAAACTTGCCCTTCACTGTTTTTTTGGTACACTTTTTGTTTGAAGCGTTTGTTGAGTTGTTCATGAAGTTTTCAAATGGCTGAAGGTACCTGTTTGCATTTAAAATATAAAAGCACGTTAACAATTTTTTATATTTGTCAGACAACTTTCTGAACATGTGAACAAGCAAGTTGAATTTGACAGCAACAGTTGCCTCACTTTTCATAATTCTTCCTCGTCCCAGTGGCGGCACTGGTGTTGCATGCACTGCCTCCCAGCTCCATGTATATCTCCTTCCACAGCTTCTTTTTGGTGACCTGTCGGTTGAACAGCAATGAGTAATCAGGAGAGTCGAACTTTTTATTAATGATTAAATTGCTTTTATTGGTATTAATATTGTCATTGTTATCATCATTATTATCAGTGAAAATAAGTGAAACAGTCAAAATATATTAATTAATTTTATATTCCCCATTCAAACCATCAAACGTGTTACTGATAATAATGCCAACCACAGTATGTGCAATATTTATTTCGTATCAAAAATGATAAATGAACAGATAAATTAAGTAAACAAAACAAACAAATAAACGAATGAACGATGAAACGAACGAACTAACGAACGATCCATCGAGTGAACGAACGAACGAGCTAACAAACAAACAAAAAATAATAATAAACAAATAATAAAGCAAACGTCACCTGATCGTAGCCTCCTCTTTTGTGAGTGCTCACATAAAACTGGTGCAAGTCCACTAGAAAATATGAATAAAAACAAGATTGAAAAACAAATTAGTCTAACATAAATTATGACATAATTGTGTGAGTGTATGTGCGTGTGAGTGTGCGCGTGTTTAACAATTCAGCAATTAAATGTCATATGTACCAAAGACGCAACGAATGTTGCCTGCTGAATATTTGGCCTAAATATGACATTCAGCTTTGGCCTAAGCCCACACTTTTTAGATTCCAGAAAAATAATTGTTAAATATTATTAGCAGGAAATGTATCTTGGCCATCATAGCTGTTAAAACGTCTGAATTTAAACAAGATATTGAATATTATCCCGATAAAAATTGTTGGATAGACATAAATCGCATATTATTTTTTCGTAAGCATGTTTTTCATCTATTAAATTGAAATTATTTCCAAGTTGTGGGTTTTTTAGTATTCAGCTATTCGACATTTGGTGTATCTCTGATATGTACGCTTCATTAAAAGCAAGCAGACAGATGTAAGTGTTTATAAAACGTTAAAAATATTATGATATAAAAATATTTAGATAAAAAAAGTTATTCAAAATTATTTAGATAAATTTCAGTAAATTTTAATTAAAGTTAGATTAAAAAATAAATGAAAATTAAAAATTTCTCCTACATTACGTTGCAATTGAAAATAAACGTAAGACGTGAAATTTTTTATCATAGCAGATGATGTGGTAAAGTTAACTGAAGCATAATGTATGAGAACCTTCTTTGAATCCGAGTATTGGATTTTTAGAGATAGGCGATTGGTTGTCGTTCATGAACTGGTAGAGTTTCTCGAGAAAGACAGTTTTATCGTTGACTAAATTATTGCTGACTGCACAGTTGTTTTTGCTTGCGATAGCATCTTTATCACAAGTTGTGCTAGTGCTATTCTTCGCAGTGTCCGGTTTACATTTGTGGATGCGTCCTTCCGATTGGAGTTTTTTCCTTTTACTGGGTGACGGAGACTGCGTTGGGGTGGATTGTTGCAAGTTTCAACGTTTGAAGTGGCAGTTTCAGAAAAACATTTAGTGAGGCGAAAGAAAATAGTTGTTACAAACAACTGAATTCGATTAGTACTATCCAGAATACGTAAAGTTAATCATATGAAAATTTATTATAAATATATCAATGTATCAATAACCATTTTTATTTATTTTAGTTGTAATAAATATGTTTTATGAACATTTCGTTAACTGAATTATATCGATATTTAATTTTTTTAAAAATTAAGATTTGTCAACAACAAAAATAAAACCATCAAAACAACACATAAAGTTAAACGATGATAATGAAGAAATGAAAATTGTATGAAAGTATGAAAGTAACGAATTGAATGCACACCGTAAGAGCAGCAAAATCAAAAGAGACGTTGCTGAATCTGTTGGACGTTTTGCGGAGGACGATCTGGTCCAGGCATATTTCTGATTCATTCGAGTCATCCGATTCAAAATATTTGCTATAATTCTTCTTTTTTCGTTTCCTGCCCTTCAACCTTGGAGCTGTTAGGTTATTATTATTATTATTATTATTATTTCTGTTGTTGTTGTTCTTGTTGTTATTGTTAGTCATTCATCGTACTTCGTTAATAATTGTTTTGAAAATGTAATATGAAAATTTGTCGAACAAAACTTTAAGCCTTTTTATACATAAAATGACAAATTTAATAATATCATTAGTTATCAGAGTAGAATATATATATAGTAAAGTCTATGAAAACTAAAGTTTGCGGTCGTTTCAAGTAATCCTCTGGAATGTATTCGTGTGTATTTGTGGGTGATGTGCAGATGTGTGTATAGCAATGTGTATGTGCTTATACGCTTTGTGCTGATATATTCATTGGTTTAGTTATATAAGTAATGATAACGATATATATGATACACATTCTATGTTAGGTGCACTGTGTGGCTGAGGTGCTGAGAGTTGGTAGTGTCGCTTCCGACATGATACGCACCAGTCAATTGTGAGGTTGTTGCTAATTGGGCGGGTGTGTTTGTTCTGTTTTATTTGTTTGTTTTCTGCACTTGAGACTTTATGTTAATAATTAGGTAAGAGAATGACCGTCTATAATTCTAAGATTTTGGCATAGATTCCCAACACCGGTAGGTGTTAAATTAACTAATTTGGAACTAACTACATTTATTTCTAATAGTTTTCAGGGTCGACAAGGATGGTGTGGCTACGAGGCTTGTCTGCAGTGGACGATGTCGTGAAGTTGGATTGGTGATGGCCGGAATGAAGTGAAGGATGGTGTGATGGGTAAATTGGTGCTCATTGGCACAGGCGATGAGGACTATACGTTGGATTGATAGACAGATACATATTACTTTTTATATTCGATTATTTTGTTATCGATATGGTGCTGTAGTTTACTTTTATTGTTGTTGTTATTATTATTATTGTATTTCTTTTTATTTATTTATTTATTTTTGTTATTTTTTTAATACTTTTTCATATTATTGTTGTTTTTTGGACATTTAAATTATTATCACATATTAGATATGAGCACATGGATTTTATTCTACGCTCATTATTAAATGTTATGTTGTGTTAAGCCTACTTTAAAAAACGAAATCATTTCGTTTATCAACGTTAAATGTTAGCTTAGCGAGCGCAAATACAAAAAAAAAACTCAACTCAAAATGGCTTCGACAAAAATGTTCCAAGTTAAGCGGTTAATGTTCAAATTAAATGAACCGACTTGTCAACATTTGCCTCATCTTTCAGTATTATCTTTGTTTCCAGGTCTATCAAATTTTTTTAAATGTTATGACTTTTCCCAACTCAGTCAAACATCTGCAGATTTGTTTTTTCATTGAACTTTTCTGGCATTCCAGAATTGTCAGCTCGATTTAGATATTCCGACTCTCAGGCTGAGGCAGGCTTAAAATTCCTTCATCATTTTGCGCTCATTAATCTGCATTTTGATATTTCGCAAACTTTCTGGTAATTTTATCTTTCTTCGTTTTGACGCCGTGTTAAAACCAGGCTAGCCTGTCATCCTTTATTCATATTTATTTGCTTATTTTGATTTTTTTCTTTCCTCAGTCATTTTAACGTATTATAAAAATTTTTTAGTTAAATTTTGGTAGTTTGTTTGTTTTCGTTTTGCATTCACATTCTTGCGTCGCTTTCTGTTCTTATCACATTGATCTCTTCATCTTTATATTCATAACTAACTTGTTGAAACCAACCTCTGCATTTGTCGAAACTACAAAAGTTGATTAATGTTCTTTATTTCGTATTATTTTTTAAACAAATATACTTCATATATTCTCATTCATTTATCTCATCATTAATAATATCCATACAAAATGACATAGGACAAACAAACAGCTCAATAAATTGTTAGAAACTTTCGTACAAGTTTTATATATCTGGCTTTCTCATTGTTACTAACACAATTATATAGCTTACAAATTGCTCATAAAAAATGTAAATTTGTTACTGGTTTTGAAGTGCATAATAAACAAAAGAATAGTTTGGATAATACAGCAGATCCTCACCTTCGGATGCACCATGGTGTTGCAGCTGCTATCATAATCATACAACTATATTATATGCATATTGCCTAGCTCCATCTGCATTTATTCTTTCATTCAAGTCACTAATTTTTATAATTCTTATATTTTTGAGTTTCGGTAAGCCTGAGATGAATATTATTTAAAAACAAAATTCTGCCTTGCTTATAAACCCATGTAAAGCATTTTAATCTATATATTATGGACACCGAGTTAGCTCAGTCGGTAGAAATGCCATGTCTCGCGCTGCTATTACGCGATGGCATGTGGTGTGGTGTGGATAGTGTACAGCTTTTTTGGCACGAAAGTTTAGTTATAAGTATAGAATAACATGTAAGCAGCTCTGTGTTTGACAGAATTGCATTAGAAAGAATACAAAAAAATCCATGTAAAGCTGCCAATAACTGGCAATAAGCCTAACTGCCCGCTAACTTCAAGCCAATAAGTTTTTACAAGTTGAAACGATGACAACAAAGTCAGTAGTAAAGTTGCAGTAGAAGTTAAGTAAGTTAGTGGTCAAAATAAAATAAGTGTTCCTTGCAACAGTTGTTGTAACTGTTGACATGAAAAATAGTAATGAGAGCATTAACATGGAGTTGATTAAGGTTTGTCACATACACTGCAACAAAATTCAAAAAATATCAACAACAACAACAATCAATTAAATGGATAAAAAACAATCATTTTGAAATTATTTTTTTTTATAAAATAGCAGTTGAAATTGTCGAAATTGTTAAAATATTCCAATTATTTGATTTTTCATCATGTACTAAAATGATCATTTAAAACGATGAAAAAATTTGAAAGACTAAACATCACGAAAAACAAATAAAAAAAGCAAATAAAAAACTTGAAAATTATATATCAATGAAAAAACAATCAAATTAAAAATTAATTTCCTTTAATGTTTCAAACTATAAAAAAATATTTTACCTAGATGGTTAAGTTCGCTTTTAAACGATTTGAAGTCTGGATTAGCGGCGGTGTCCATGCAGAAGAAGACGTCAACATCAGAGACAACACTCGGCAGGGATTGAACGAAACTCTTTCCGACTAGATAGGCGAGCATCTGGAGGTCGTCCTGCCTGCTGATCATCGTTAGCCTCTTCCTGGCACACTGGTACCGACAGTACTGAGGGTAGCTAATGATGATGGGCTTCTTCAGATGATGGTAATGCAAAGGTCCATGGATATCTGCATGTTCATCAAATATTTCTTTTTTTACTTCATTCATTCATTCACTCATTTATTCATGCATCCATTCATTCATTCTGTCAGTCAGTCAGTCAGCCAGTCAGCCAGCCAGTCAGTCAGCCAGTCAGTCAGCCAGTCAGTCAGTCAGTCAGTCAGCCAGCCAGTCAGTCAGTCAGTCAGTCAGTCAGTCAGTCAGCCAGTCAGTCACTCATTCATTATTTTACAGTTGAATTACGTTTGAAGAAGTTGGAGATAAACATTTGAATGTTAAAAAAAAACTTAAATTTTCTAAACAAAAAAAATAATAATAAAAGATAGTCAATATGCACAGAACAAAATAACACGCTTGTAATAAATCAACATTCCATTCAATGAATTTTTTCGACTGCAATGTATAAAGCAGTAAATTTATATTTTTTGCGTTTCACCATATTCTTGCTTCCGATAGACATTCCGATTGCTATTGGACTAAGTTTGATTCATTTGATGAAAATTCATTTCAATGAATATATTTTTTAAAACACAAAATTCAAAAATGAAGAAATAGAACGTTAATGATGAGGTTATTTTGAACTTTTAATAACATTTTTCCAGTTGCGATTATTATTTATATAAAGAATGAAATAGAAGCACCGACCTGATGCGTCTGTAGCCTCTTTCGGTGCAGCGTTTGTATTCAAATTAAAATCTGAAGATGATTTGCAGTTGTTAGAAGCAAGTCCATTCACATTATTTTTGGCATTATCCATATTGACACTAAGTAAATTTTCATTCCTGCAATCCAACATATGATCGCCAACTGAAGGTTGAGGATGGCTCGCGCGTGGATCACAGGTGATGTTGAAATTTGCTTCTGATTTCACAGGTTGCCCATCAAACTCATTATTTGTATTATAATTATTATTAGCGTTCAAAGCCGAGTTGCTTTCTTTGATGTTGTTGCACGTGTTGACGTGCACGTGTATTTTTTCGTTTGTGCTTTTGTTGTTTGCTTTTGTATCATTATCCCAACTCGTTGTGTTGATAGCGTTAGAAGGCGATTGTTGATGATGATGATAATGATGCTGGTGATGATGATGATGGTGGTGCTCGCACGGCTGATCAATTAAGATCAATTCAACCAACTCGCTCAGCATCAAGACCACTTTGTTCTCCTCAGCCACCACCTCGTCCTGCAACATTTAATAATTGGCGAATCTTTACAGGAAACAAGATATATAACAATATAACAAGCTCGCATACACACAAACACACACACACACACTTCTGCTGCCAACATACTTGCATAATTTGATTTTCGACACTGATCAAAATGTTTATAGATAATAAACTTCATATATATATATATATATATATATATATATATATATATATATATATATGTATATGAATATATATATATATATACATATATACATATATATATATATATATATATATAAGAATTGAGTGGAGATAATATTTTGTTTGGGTTTTCAAAAGTCGTTTCATAATTAAGATTAAGACAAAGCACTGTGGTCCAGTGAGGAGCAGGTTACACGTCACTTTGCAGCAGACACGGCTATCTTATCTTTTAATTCTGCTTGGCCTTTTTTTGACTAAATGTTCATTGACTAAAACTTAATTTGCAAAATACATTTGAAAATCTGGTTACACTCAAGCCGTGAAGATATATTTTTAGTGTCTCTTCAAAGTGTTACTAACGTAAAACCAAAAATGATATTTGAAAAGAATAAAAATGAAACATAAAAAAACAAGCAAACAAATTAATAAATAAACACACGAATAACTATCTGAAGTGAAAGAAGAAATACAAAAAAATCATCAATATAATAAATTAAAAATAAAAACAAAAGCTAAAATTTGACAAAACATATTAATGGCGCAGACCTGAAAACACTTCAAAAATTTTAGTGTAAAAAAGAACAAAAACACATTGAACATCAGCGTTCCATGACATGCACTCAGAATCAATTCCCGACCTGCCAGCCCACACGCACCCACCTCCCTCTACGTTCTTCAGGTATTTCAGATCAAACAAACAACGCCACGATCAAACAATCCCTCAACCTATATCAACTTTTGTAGACTTAACACAAAATATAGATACGGTTTGAAAGACCCATAGGCACCGTAAGGAAGCACCGCATGCCTTCCAGCAAGGAAACACATAGGTCACATTCATCACATGCAAGCATCTAACAACGTATTTATTCATACATTTATTAGTGAAATCGTTAAAACTGAAAACTCGCCACAGCATGTCAAAAAGTTGTTTACATAGATTAATTTGTTATAGACTATGTTATTCATTGTAGAGTTTCAACAAAATAAAGAATTTCTTAAATGAACGTTAACCGGCAACACAAACAAGCCAACCCAAGCAAACATCAACCGCATACATTCAATACAACTCCATGCATAACAACACTACAACTTGAGCGACCTTGTGACTGAGCGATAAAGTATAAACGTCATATAGGCCGCATGTTCAGATTTATTTTCAATTCAAAAACGGACACACCAGCAACCAACCAGTAGCAACGCTAAACATGACAATCACAAAAGTAATCACTCACTAACGCAATTAGTCAAGTGGCGATATATCGAGAATGAATTCACCACTATATAGTTTTTCTCTTTCTCTCTCTCTTTCTCTCTCTCTCTCACACACACGCACACACACAAACAAATACTTTTATACACACACACACACACACACATATATATATATATATAATAAAATATATATATATAATAAAATATATATATATATATATATATGCATGCTTAATGAGCTAACTTTAAATTGATTAATGCCAACAATACAGTAGAATGTACTGTATATACATTATATTAAACATTATATTATACATTGTATTATACATTTATCTATTTGTTTTATATGCCCTGATTGTGTGTGTGTGTGTGTGTGTGTGTGTGTATGTGTGCGAGCATGTTTTTGCACGTGCACATCAAATTTATTCATGCTATAAAAATGATCAATAAAATTAAAAATAGTAAAATATGAAAACCATGTTTTATATATTTACACATACACACATCAAATACACGTCTACATACTCATCCATCCATTCAATCATTCATTCACTCATTCATTCACTCATTCATTCATTCATTTACTCACTCACATACACACACACACACACAGATATATATATATATATATATATATATATATATATATATATATATATATATACATTTAACACATTGTTGCAGAATATTTATTTTATTTTGTAGGCTACACAAATTTCCCTGTTTCCTAACGTACGCCATAACGTCTTGCACCGTATATTACGCATTAAGTTCTATGAATGTTTCGCCCGAACAAATGACGTAGATGTATGACTGTTATCAATTTAATAATAATAATAATAACAAAAACAATAATAATAGTTGTAGTAGTAGTAGTAATTCAAATGAGGCCTACAAAAACCATTGCGCCTTTGAAATTATGCACGATTCAACATCCAGGCAGGTTCTAATATAACGAGATGTGGTTCATAGCGGGCACATGAAAATTTCATCAATCGTGCAGTAGAAAGTGATGTCAATTAAAAATACATAATTATACATTATTATTAACATTATCGTTACTATTAGGGAATGTACCTGTATTAGGCGCTTTTTCAAAAAGTAAAAATCTTTTAAGAGTGCAAAATACACACACAAACACACACACTCACACATTCTCTCTCTCTTTTTATTTCTCTCTCTCTCTCTCTCTCTCTCTCTCTCTCTCTTTTTCTGACTATTATACTCCAGACATTTTGACTTTTTCAAGAAATAAATTTTTATTGCTTCTTAATAAATAATAAGTTATAGCATAATTGAATCTATTTTTAAAAAAATATATCTTTAACATTTTTTAACCTGCAAAATATAATTTTTTGGTATCACACCTGATCAAGTATCTTATTATTTTCTAAGCCTTCCTGTCAATTTTAGAAATTTTTGTTTTTAGACTCCAGAGATGGCATTCGCCAAACGTTGGTCGGCCAATTTATTTAAAATGTTCCAAAAACATGTCGTTCAATGAATAAAGATTGATACAGTCTACGTCTAGTTAAAAAATTATTTAAAAATTATGAAACTTAAAATTCCATACGATATAATCAAATACATCTGAAGAAAAAAAATCTACACCAGACACACCCAAACGTCCATTTATTTTATTTGACATCCTTGCAAGCATCATATAGCTCGTATATTAAAAATAAAGTTCAAAATGTTTACATCAATTATTTATTTTGACGAGAGCTCGCATAATGAACTTCATCGACTTCTGTTTTTAAAAATTCAGATTTTATTTTATATTCGATTTTATATATTTTTATCTTCTGATGTATTTGCGGCTGATTTGTTTTCAGAATGAAATGATTTCTCGGGTTTAAAAACTAATAAGTAAATTGTTAAATTTGTTTGTAACATTTGAAACCTTTTTTTTATCGTAGGTCCGATTTTATGCAATGGCAACTAGCTAGGTCTATTTTAAGCACATATTTAGTTGAAATTTTTAAAGGATGGAACATTGAAAAATAAAAAAGCAAGATAGCATTTTGTTTCTGCCCAATAATCTTTTCTAAATATTTAAAAGTTTGGTTCAATTTGACAAAAGTAATTCACCAAACGCCAATCTTACTGTATGTCCTCCTGGCCAAGAAGCGGTGTATCAATGATGGATTCCGATAGCTAAGTGGAACATACACATAATACGCTAATTACCCCTTAGCAGCGCATACATTTACCACTTATAACCTCGGAGATGCTTTTAAAACGCAAAAGACTATATGTTTTATTATATATATATATATATATATATATATATATATATATATATATATATATATATATAACCAACCAACCAACCAACCAAATCAAAATATTTTTAAAAATCGCGTTTTATATTGTTTATAGTTATTAAATTTATTTTATTGGTTTTCTGTTTTAATTAAATAATTTATATAAATTAATAATTACTTGTTCCTTTATATCAAATATCTTACATACCTTATATATAATGCACTGAAGATGAGTTATTTATAACTCGAAATAGCTATTTGCAAATTTATTTAATAAAAATTAAAAAAAAACAATAAAATGTCTAATTTCTCTGAAATTAATAAATTAAAAAGAAATATAAAAAAGTTAAACAATGTCGAAAGTAGTGTTGAATTTTTGAAATATATATATATATATATATATATATATATATATATATATATATATATATATATATATATATATAATCTTTGTCACGCAATTAATCTAACTAAAACTAATTTCAATCACTTGGTTAAAATTTGTTGACAATTACACATGAGTGTTTTTGTTGAACACATAATCACCTTCTTTTTAATTCGAGCTTTTTTGGTAACTACTTTCAATTTAGTAATTTTAAGTTATCATTGTTATAGACAAACATTTCTAAATATGTTTTCAAACTCATGAGATTTTTAAATTTGTGTATAAAAATTATTTCTTCAAATCTAGAGGGAAAAAATTATCGTCAAAATTTTAATGGAACTGTGAACTCTGTCGGAAATTGAAAAGCAACCATCACGATGAGTTTTTATTAAGACATCGTTTGTTTCAATTCTCTCACTTACTTACCTACTACAAGCCGCTACAAACAAAAGATTATTTTTTAACAAAAAAATACAGATTTATCCACTGAGATTTCATCATGATAATAATAAATTGTAATTACAAAAAATGATGACTGAATTAAATGAAAATAAATAAAATTAAACTTCTATTAATCTAGCTAACTGAATCGCAAAATATTTAACCAACATTAAGGGTTTAAAAATAAATAATGTAACGCATTCGTACAAAGGTGGATGTGGCATTAAATTGCAGAAATGATTGTCGGGCTGCTACTGCAACAGCCACCACAACGCAGCAGCTGTCCTCCTGCTGCTCTTTATAAGAAGCACACATTTTATTTTTATGCTCAGTGCTCTTTCAACTTTCAACGTCTCTTTCGTGTTGCATTAGATGTTATTACATGAATAAACGACATATGGACGATTGTTTCTTGACAAATGTAGATAGATAGCTTTATAAATTAACGCAAAGATTCCAAGTAATTTAAACCCATTGACATATAAATGTTCTAATGAACAAATAAATTACCCCTCTAACAAACAACAAA